TCAGAATAACTAAGTAAGACGAATTTCAGATTGTTTAAATACTAAATTGTACATTTGCAGATATTTTCTGTCACACCTGGTGTATTTCGGATACTAACAATTCTGGCGCTAAAATTGAATTTAAAAAATGCATTTCGTAGACTAAAACAGACTGTTACGCAAGAGACATGAACTTAATACTTTCTAAGTTTTAAAAATACAGTGCTATAAGCGAATTGTTTGTGTAAAATAGGCGAAAAAAGCAGTGCACTCTGACATCGGAGATTGCATTTCAATTCACTCATAAAAAATTATGAAGTGAATTTTGAGTTTAGTGAAATGTGCTCTTTTCTATGGGGCAAAAATTACGAAAATCTATTTCAGTGTCAGTTATTCAGTGATAATTTTGAAATTGAAGCTGACAAAATTGATGAATTTAAAATAGACGCATGTTTTTAATTTCGTGATCAGTAAATCAGCATTTGTCATAGAAGTCACAGTTCTGCAAATCTCTCGGAAATATCCTCAAAGAAGGATTCTAGAACAATTCTATTTCTTTAATTCTTAATGATTTTTTATCAATAAGAAAAAAAAACAAATTTAATGAGTGAAGTTGATTTCCAGTCCATCACTGAGGTAGGTAAAAAGAGATAGGCATTTAATGATGGGCTATCGTGGGACCTTAGTTCTTAGGATGAACTGGTGAAAGTGTTGTAGACTTCTTGCTTTATAGTGCGAGAATTCAACTTTACTCGATTTTATTGTAATTCAATTAAATTCAAGTACGTCTAATTGCTAATGAAAGCACGCACAAAAATGGATAAATTTGAAAGGATCCCGTTCTAACATGAATTTACTATAACACAAATCGTTTAGTCATTGCTCGTCTCAAGTGTCACGAGGACTTAAAACAATTTACCTATTGAAACGAGGTGTATAAATAGTAGGACATTTTACTATGAACTCATACACTATACAATTTCGGATTCTTGGGGTAATTTATTTCCTTCCATTTGCTTTTGTAACTGATAAACCGGCGCCTCCAAATAAATACTTGTTAATTTGATGATTTATTCAGTTTTTAGGCAATTTCACTATCAATCCACGTATGTATAGGTGCCTTAAATTGGCACAATAAAGAAATAGCATAAAAATTTAAAAATTATTAATTTGCTACTTTTAATTACTTAAGTAGAGTAAATTTCATAAAATCGGTTAAAAAATTGAAGTCCCCAATGTTCCTTCGTATTTTAGTGATGTAATCATGGAGATTACATTTCTTTGTTACACAAAGTCATCATTAAAATATTATTCATTTTAATGTTTGGATATTATATATAATAGCATTTTCGTTACTGATTATGACAGTCCCGTCGCTCTGGTGGTCACGATGTTGTCGAAGAAACACATTCATTCATGCGACTTTGGACTTAATTCGCTTTTCGAAATCGTTTTTTTTTGAGTGTGTATGCAACATGGACCACATAAGTGAACGATGGAGTATAGCAAAGTCTGGCTAGTAAGAAAGGAGTGAGGGAACTTCCCATCGCGCTTGCCTTGTTGTGGGGACCCTGTTAATAAACTATCAAATAAACTTGAACCTTTGTGATTTATTATTTTGCCAATTGTCTACAAAGAAATTCAGCTGTAACCGTTTCTTACAGTTCCACCAATTCACTAAACTACATAAAGGAAATATCTGAATGACCTTTGTTGCTTTCAAAAAAACTTTGCCATAAGAAACCCAATTCTATGTCACAGTCAAATTAGCCATAAAATACGAATTAGCTGCATGTGTTTCACTACTCTGCTTTATTAAATTAATGAATTTGTTGCAGCTCACAAAAATTCTACTCTTTTAAATTTAATTATAAACTGCAACGTTATTGTTGTTGTTTAAACAAAAATTGACTTCGGTGACTGAAAGCAATTGACGATTGGATTTGGTGAAAGAATGAAGCCTGCAATGTCTGATGTGTTCTCTGCTATCTCGGTTGATTAAATGAAATTTATTGTTCTAAAATAATGTTGAACATTTTGTCTAATAGGAAAAGACCTAACAGTTAGTTGTTTCTCCCTCTATGGGCACAAACTGAACTCTAGCATCTCTTTGTAAAAAAAACTGTTATTTCTTGTTTGAGCATTTACTACAAACTGAAAGGTAGGGCTACGTGAGCACCAATCAGAATATGTGCCAGTCGGATTTATAATTCTCTGCAAAATCTATTTGTTGAAAGATTTATACAGCAAGTGAAAAGAATTCAAGTAAATGGTGATATCTGCACCTGTGCATCACGTGTTCAATACCCATCGGTGATCAATCAGTGATGTGAATGACCAACCGCTCAGGTTAATTCATTTTACCAAGAAAAGCGGATATTCCTTCAAAGCATCATTAAGGGATTTGGAAGTCATGCGTCTGGAAGTAGAGCCAATTTTAGAAAATTGGGTGATCTGTCTTTGAAATGTCTAAAATAAATATATGCAATGCCAAGTTTATCTTATGCTTTGACGTGGATTATTTATTGTCTTCAATATTTCAACCCCCAACAAAAAACAGTAGTTATTTATTTTTAAATTGTTCATTATGATGTTCATATCCGGTGATCAAAACACCTTCATAATTGGCAGATGTAGTTTCAGGGGGTTGACATCAGTTTTTTCGTGTTCATTGCTCTCAAAATTCGCCTTCTTTGTTTTTTCTACCCATTATATGCCCTGGAAAACGCCGTTACCTTGAACGTCTTTTTTGCCGATGAGGGAAGTTTAGATGATATCATGAAAAGATTTTCTCTAAAGCGTACTTAGCTTAGATAGCATTGCTAATTCGAGTTCCATCCGTGGCATTCGGAATAGAAAAAAAACAAGACTTTGGTCGGTTTAATATTTTATTTCTTATAACTTATTTCTAGCATAACAATCAAAATACTTCATTGTACTTTTGATCCTAAGATAGAATTATCCATTGCTTAAAGAGCCTATTCATTTTGATCGAAGCGAGCACTTATTAGGTTGGCAACTAAGTCATTGCCGATTTCAAATAAGAAGGCAAATTCGGAATTTTTGTTTAAAAATATAACTTTATTCAATTAGATATTGGCCGTTCTTGTCGATGACCTTTTTCCATCGTTCTGGCAGAGTAAAAATTCCCCGTTCGTAAAATGTCTCGTCTTTGCTATTAAAAAACTCAATTAGGTGTGATCCGACAACATCCGCCTTGTTAAAAATTTTACCATTTAAAGAGTTTTGCATGGAACGAAACAAATGGTAATCCGAAGGCGCAAGATCAGGGCTATATGGTGGGTGTGACAAAACATCCCAACCCAGTTCCAATCATTTTTGCCGAGTAACCAAAGATGTGTGGGGGGGGGCCTTGCGTTACCATGATGGAAAACAACACCCTTCCGCCGATTTGATAATGCCGGCCGCTTATCTTCAATTGCATCCTTCACTTTTTCGAGTTCTTCAACATACACATTTGAATTTATCGTTTGGTTCTGCGGCATGAGTTCAAAATACAAAATTCCTTTGTGATCCCACCAGACTGACAGCATAATCTTTTTTTGGTGAATCTCTGCTTTTCATACTGTTTGGGCTGGTTGAACTTGCTTCACCCATGATCTCTTGCGAGTAACATTGTTATAAGCTATCCACTTTTCGTCGCCAGTAACTAGGTTCTTCAGAAATGGATCATTCTCATTGCGTTTCAGTAGCGGCGAATCACAGATGCTAATCCGTTGCGTCAAATGAATTTCCATAAATCAAGTTTCTTGACATAACCAAGGGTTTTTCATTTTTTTTCAATGCATGTATGCGACACATTGAGCAGCTTCTCTGCAATATCTCGTGTTGTGCTGTGACGATTTGAATCGATAATGGCCTTGATATGGGTTTCATCCACTTCGACTGGGGGGCCAGATCGTTGTGAATTTTTCAGTGAAAAATCACCGGAACCAAATCTTTCAAACCAATTTCGACACTGCCTTTCTTTTAAGGCTTCATCTCCATATACGCCACATAACTTCTTTTGTACTTGCGATGCGTTCTTGCCTTTTCGGAAGTAATACAATAAAATGTGTCGGAAGTGCACGTCCTATTCTTTCATTTTTAAATTGGGATAAAAACAAAACTAAAAAACTAAACACAAAAAATTTTTACTAATTAACCTAGAAGCCCATACAGTAAGAAAAAAATATAGGTTAGATGCTCTGGTCACGTTAACAAAACAAAAGAAAGTATAAAGTGAATCTGTCAACAAAAACGGCAATGACTTAGTTGCCAACCCAATAAGTTCAAGCGAAAAAAACCACGTTACTAGACCTGAAAATGGATAGCTACCCAAAGAATTTGGAGAAATGGAACTTCTTGTATGCTTTAGATTTCTTTTCCAAAAAGAGTTTAACTTCTAAGTAATCAGGTTGTTTTATCTAGTAAAAGAGATTGATGGAATTTGCGTCCCAACGCATGCGAATCTAGTCGCTTATTAAGGCGGATTCATTTCAATGCAAACTCACTTTCTTTGTGTGTGTTAAAACAACACGAGTTTAATGAAAGCGCTAAGTCATCATCCGAGCACAGTAATTGAACCCACGTCTCAGCACATGATTAAAAAGTCCCCCCATCTCGAAAACAAAATAAGTTTTCATTTAATGACCATTAACATTACTGGTCTAGCGAGTTTTTTTCTGTTAAAGGAAGTCACTGTCGAAAACATCTCAAAGCATCATTAATTATGGTATCATCAAATAGGCGACATCTATTTTATTCCGAATACTGATTTTCCAACTGGATTAGACAATATCTTTTCACCAAGTTGAGCAAAATTACCGAAGGAATAAGTAAGTTGAGAATAGTGCTGTTCTGTATTTAATGAGCAAACAGTATTAGCGCTTAGTAAGCAATCAGGCAAATAAATAACTGATCACTAAATAAACTAAGCAATCATTACATTCAAAGAGAGAAATGGCAAAATTTAAGCGAGCTTAGGAATGCGAAAGTTAAATAGAATTTTTTTCCCCTATTTACTTGGCGGGCGCATTTTGACTGTAGAGTTCATATGTCCTCTTATGAAAGGCATTCCTTGCTGCAATTGGGGTATTTGAGAAACCCAATTCGATTATCAAGCCAATTCCAATAAGCGCGTGTTCTAGAAGGATAAGAGTGGAAAGGTTCCAATCAGTACGACTCCCGAGCAGACAGAGGTTGGTGAAGAGTGCCATCCAGGCTTGGATTGAGAGCATCATGAGCCAGACATTCTGTTTTCTGTGCAGCCATTGAGGCACTGGACGTCTAAACAATTTAAGGAGCTTGAATCCATCAAAAAAGGATTCAACCCAAGCACAGAGGAATGCCATGCAAGCCAGATAGGGGGGACAAGCCACTGCAAAGAGAACAATATATCCATGTTCCAGAGCCATCTCCAGAAAGTCATCAAATGGTTCGTATTCAACACCGAATGCGGCCTCCTTGATCGCTTTGGCTTTATCGGCATCGATATCAACTTTCAAGGGTACAGTACCGTCGCGCTTTTTCTTTCCCGATATGGCCCGATGACTGCGGATACGAGAGCTTAGATAGGGTATAAGACATTCAACAATTAGACGTCGAATAGAGTCTGTTGCGAAGGTGGTGAGCAGGAGAGAGTGAAGAGCATTCCAATCTACTAGAATTACTCCCAAGTATAAAGGAGATGCGTAGGCGTCGACAGCTTCAAAGAGAAAACGCTTGATGATTAGTGAGTAATCCCATGCCATCTGTGTCTGAAAAGGAGATTTAAAAAAGTTCAAATATTTCTAGGGCAACGTGTGCATAGACTTTGTTTGTGTTCTAAAGCTACGTCTGTAAAGTTGATAACTACTTGTGCACATTCGTTGATAAAAACGTCGAATTGGAGGGACATTTGTCTATTCAGTTTATTGATTGTAAAAATCGCTCTCTTTGTCAATGCTAATGACTGCAATGAAATAGCAGATATACACACCAGCTCTCCCTTGTATTTCTGAGGTGATCGATTAATCGATAAGCCACAACCAAATACTCAATTTAACTTGCATCCAGATTAACAGACACTCAGATATTTTTGAATTTGACGTCCTAACTTATTCGCCATTCAGTTTGTTCATCTTTCGATTCTTAGACCAGTCGAATGGTCTTCTGTTGATGCTGAAATGAGTTTATAAAGTGGGAACATATTGCACCTTATGACTCACCTCTGACTAGTTGATAGTCGCATTGGTTACTTAATGAGTAAACCGGACGACTGTGGACATGGCTTCAATGGCAAACAAATGAGGATGACAGTGAAGAAACTTGTAAAATCTAATTGAGGATAAAAGATAAGAATCGAGAGATATCTTTGGAGGACTAAACACTCCATCAGTACACTTGAATCAATGTTTGAGTCTATTCTGAACTCTTCTCTTTATACGCAGCAGCGGGACACAATAGATCCGCTTTCGAAGGAGATATATGGGCCATTAGGATAGCACTATGCCAATTATGTTGCCCGGATACGAAATTCGGACTCACAGTCTGAAATAAACTCAATTAGAAGCAGAGAGTCACCCGAAACAGCTGAGAAAAACGAATGTAAAAAACTATACCAGCTGCTGAGAGAGAAAAACAAAACAGTGGTCCTACAATGGATTCCTGGTCACTGTGGCATTAAAGGCAATGAGCTTGCTGACACACTTGCTAAGAAGGGGACAACGATTTCGCAATGCATGGACCGACCGATGTCTTTCCACACAATGAAGGCCTTAATCAGGAGAGAATTCAAGACCTCAAGGTGCAACGAACTTAAAGTTCGAACAAAGGAGAAACAGTGGACAGTGGCTCTCTCCGACATACCCGACTGGCCAAGAATCGAAGCCATTGCTGAGTTTAGACTACGTACCGGACACGATTGCTTGGCAAAACATCCTCATAGATTTGGAGTATACACTCAACCCGCATGCCCTCTATGTAACCTAC